GGGGTCAAACTGGAAACAAGCGCAAGGTGCTGGCACGAGAAGCCCGCCATGAAGTGTGCACAACCTACGCGCAGCTCGTATGCTACCAGATCTCGTTTTCGGTCGAAGACGTGAAAGACCTGTACAACCCATACAACGACGCTTTGGTCATCGAGGCTCAGATCGATCACGTGACAGTCAGACGCATACTGATTGATGGAGGTGCCTCCGCTAACATTCTATCATTTTCCACTTACATTGCTCTATGGTGGAAGATATGCCCGCTTAAGCCAAGCCCCAGTCTGCTGGTCGGTTTTGCAAGAAAACCAGTTCTACCTGAAGGATGCGTGAGTCTTCCCATAACGCCGGGAGAAGGAGAGCACCAAATCCACAGATGGCAGAATTTGTGGTGGTTGAAGCCAGGCGGCGTACAATGCCATATTTGGCCGACCTGTCATCCACGACTTATAAGTTGTGCCATCCACACTACATCAGACGATAAAATACCCAACTTCCAAAGGGGTAGGAACCGTAAAGGGTAAGCAGAAAACTTCGAGGGAATGCTATGCAGTAGCCCTCAGGCCCACGCGCAACGCCATCATTGGGGGCCGCGAGCTCCAGGCGGACAAGCCACTTGACGAGCAGAGCTGCCGTGAGCCCGCAGATGGCTTGAAGCTTGTCCAGCTACTCGGCCCAGAGAAGTGCACAAGCATCGGCACAAAGCTAGGGGCCACCAAGAAGGAAGAGCTCGTCCAATTCCTAAAAAACAACACCGACGTGTTCGCCTGGTCGTACGAAGACATGTCTAGGATTGACCCCAACATCATGGTTCATCGTCTAAACATAGATCCCTCTGTACGACCCGTAAAATAAAAGAGACGACCTGCAAATGCTGAAAGAAGCGCAACAATTGTAGGAGAAATCCAAAAACTTTTGAAAGTTGACCAAGGAAGTTAACTACCCTGCGTGGCTCTCGAATGTAGTGTTAGTAAAAAAATCAAATGGAAAATGGAGAATGTGTGTGGACTTCACTAGCTTAAATAGAGCATGCGCAAAAGATAGCTTCCCCTTCCCACGAATCGACCAGCTCGTAGACGCAATGGCAGGGCATGAGCTCCTGAGCTTCATGGACGCATATTCAGGGTATAACCATATCAAGATACACATCCCTA